AACAATACGACTACATATCCTGGTTTGGGCTGAAATAAAGTTAATATTCCTTTTCAGGGACTAGAGGAGTGCTGTGTTTTGGATTTAGCTTTGGGTTTGGTATGAGAAGAATGCTGATAGCACACTGATGTTTTCAGCTGCTGCCGAGACTTCAAGGACTCTCCGACTCTCCATGTCCTGCCCGTGTGCAAGGGCACAGGGAGCAGGGAGGGAGCATGGCCAGAGCACCAGACCCTAATTGGCCAATGAAATATTCCATATCATGGAACGTCATGCTCACTATATAGAGGAGGGGTGGTTGGGAAGGAGCTCTCTTGCTTCCAGGATTGCGATTGCGGGATCTTGGTATCTTGGGGTCACTAGCCGGGAACGGGCTGGGTGTTGGTTAGCGGGTGGTGAGCAATTACGTTGTGCATTGCTTGTTTATATATTTCTTTTTTTTTTTTTCTCTATCATCATCATTGTTCTTGTTTTATTGCCATTATTAAACTGTTCATATCTCAGCCTGCGAGTCTCCCTTTACCCCTCTGATCCCCTCCCCCCATTCCCAGGTGGGGAAGGGGAAGGGAGGGTGACCAGCTGCAGGGGTTGGTTGCCACCAGGCTCAAACTACAACACTACAGAACAGGAGTTCAATGCCAAAGATTTTTGATTTTGCAATGCGGTTCCAGTTTAAGGTAGTACTGACCTCAGCAGCCACAAATATTTCCCCATCCATCTCAAGCAAAATCAGCCAGATGATCAACAAAGGTGAATACCACATAAAGCAAGAGATTTTGTCACGTCACCACTAAAATCACAAATATTTTAGGTCAATCACTAGGAAGGACTATTTGAAGACAGCAGACCCATCTACAACCAATGTAAGCTAGATCTCAGAGAATGTTTGTGTACACCAAAAGCATATGAAGCAGGCCAACGCATGAAGAACCTCTGGGAAACCAATCTTTGAAGGCTCACAGAAACCATAGAATAGTTGGGGGTGGAAGGGACCCCCGGGATTTTTAAATCCAATCCCCCTTCTCAAAGCAAGGTCAGCTAGGGCAGGTTGTTCAGGACCACGTCCAGTTGGGTTTTGACTGTCTCCAAGAATGGAGACTCCACAACCTCTCTGGGCAACCTGCTCCAGTATTCAATCACCCTTACTGTAAAAATGTTTATTATGTTTTAATGGAACTTCCTGTGTTTCAATTTACACCCATTTCCTCTTGCCCTTTTTCACTGGGCACTACTGAGAAGAGTCACAAAGTCTGTCTTTAATCCCCCATCAGGTATTTAGATACGTTGATGACATCCCCCCAGACCTTCACTGCTGCAGGCTAAACAGTCCCAGCTCACTGAGCCCCTCTTCATGGGAGATGCTCTAGTCCCCTAATCATCTTTTTGGTCCTTTGCTGGACTCAGTCCAGTATGTCTGTGTCTAGTGTGGGGAGCCCAGAACAGTACTCAGCACTCCAGATGTGTCTCACCAGTGCCAAGCAGAGGGAAAGGATCATGTCCCTTGACCTGCTGACAATGCTCTTCCTAACACAGCCCAAGTATGCCAAATTTTTTCACCACAAGGATGTACTGCTGTCTCATATCTGGCCTGGTGTCCACTAGGACTGTCAGGTCCTTTTCTGCAAAGCTGCTCTCCAGCTGGTTAGTCCCCAGAGTGTATCGGTGCATGGGGTTATTCCTCCCAGTGTACAGGGCTTGGCATTTCCCTTTGTTGAACTCCAAGAGATTCCCATTTGCCTATTTCTCCAAAACTGACAATGTACCTTGGAATGGTGGCACAGCCATCTGGTCATCGCAAACTTGCCAAGGGTACACTCTGTCCCATCATCCAGATCATTAATGAGGATATTAATCACTACTGCTTCCAGCATCAATCCCTGGAGTACACCAATAATGACTAGACTTCAACTGGTCTTCATGCTGCTTAATGCAATCCTTTGAGCCCAGCAGTCTACCCAGTTGTCAGTCCATCTCACTGCTCATTTATCTAGTCCATATTTTATCAGTTTGTCTATGAGAACATTATAGGAGACAATGTCAAAAGCCTTACTAAAGTCAAGATAAGCCATACCCATTGCTCCTTCCTCATACACTGAGACACAACTACTATATTCCAAGTATTAGATTTCAGATGTGCTTCTGAAAAGAAACTGGGATTAGAGAGATAAGGGAAAACTGCATTTGTGTTGAATTCAGTGTTACAAATGAAAACCTGAGGCTTAGCAAGTCAGCAGACCTGCTTCATGCAGAACAGAACTAACCCTCATTTTTGAATAAAGTATTGGAGGCAAGCATATTCAAAAGTCTTTGAAGAAAGTGCCATGGAGAATTTTACTAGTGTCTTCAAATTCACAGCTGATGTGCAAGAAGCACTCTGGAGGTGTCACTGATAGCAGTAACAAAACCCCAAATATATTACAGAGTTAAAGAGATAAAGAAAGAAACAATTCCAAAATTTTAAGCATTCCTGGTAGTAAACTCTCTAGATACCTGGGTCAAACCACAAGATTCTGAAACTGATATGTTTTGGGTGGAATTCTGTGTTCAATTCTTTACCAACCAAAGGTCCCACAAAATTTTGTACATGTACAAATTAGCATTTGTGATGAACTGCAGTTTTTAACATGGATTTAGTCTTCCTCATAAACTAATGGCTCAAAGTATTTATCTCTTTCTCCCTCAATAATGCACTTCCCCTGCCTCCCCCTTCTCCCCAAATTTGCCCAAGTGCTTTCCTGTTCAAGAAAGATCAAGAATGATGGTACCAGTGGCCCTCAATCTCCAACGATTTCTGCATCCCAATGGAACAGCCATACTCTTTAGAGACAGATCATCTCATTTTAAACCTTCTGAAGTACTTATTTCTGCTTATAAACATAAGACAATCATTATAGCATGCTACAAGTATTTCATAAACATAGTACTACACCACTCACATTTCAAATAAAAAGAAAATTTAAAAAAGTAAAGCACCCCACACCTCTGCTACTCACTCTAGGGCACTAATTAAAAAGAATTATCATTTATTTTCCCCTTGCCTTTATTTTTCTTCTTTCATATTCTAATTCCCACAGTGAAAAGTCATTCTCCTATAGGGTTTATTCACTGAACTGTTTTAGTAGGTATGTCAATGCTTTTTTCTACTTAGAAAACTAAGTCACTGTCTGTATCAATAAATATTTCTCACGTGAGCTGCCTCAAAATTCGCCCACAAAGACCTAATGTTTAAGATATTAAATTGAGATTGGGGGTCCAATTCTGTTCTAGTTGTAACTTTGGTCAAAGTGGCCAATACCTGTTCTTCAGTTCTTCGTTCATAAACAGAGAATTTTTACATTAATACTGAGAGTATCGTTATGTATCAGATTATGCATCCTCCTTTAGCTGCTTTCCCATTATTCTGAAGGGCATTGTTCTGGGTCACCTTCTAACACAGAAACTTTGAGCCTCAAAATGTTTCCAAACTGACCATAAAATCTTCCATAAGACAAACAGCTCCACACTAAAGCTGTAAGAGAACTTTTTGAAAGCACTCTTGCAGGTGGATTAGTGCAAAGTGAATTGCATTACCTTGATCCATCCTTGAAGAAGATTTAATCTAAGGTGACTTTATATTTACAGAGAGTAAGATCACTGATTTAATGTATTAAGATATTTCAATCCTGGGCACTGTAACCTACAGTTAAAAGGATGTAACAAGTAGCTGAGAAGGTAACTTTTTATGTCTCTCTGACAAGAGCTGTACAAGCTTTCCTCACCAGAAAACACCGTCTTCTGCCTTCTTTACTCTCACACTGGTCTAATTTATACATAGACACTCTTGTACCTTTATTTTCTATGACACTACTTAAATACTATCTTCCCAGAACTTAAGTACATTGATGATTGGTCATAAATTGCTTGGAGAGAAATTGAGTTATGCAAAATGACAATTTAGGCTGTTTGCAAAAGCAGCCAAAATTGACTCTTTTGCTACAATATGTGCCCCTCCTAACACGCTGTTCACTGCAACACTCCAGCCAATTCTAAAAAGGCTCTCAGGTTTATTTCTTGTTTAAGTCTTGGTTTGGTTTAAGAGTTTTCTCCATGTACATTACCTTAGCCTCCCACACAGTATATTATTTGCCTACATAAATCTTTCTAGATATCAGCTTTAAAACAGTCATTTCTGTTGTTTACAACCTCCCATCAATTTCGTTTTGTTTGTGAACTTCCATATTTTAAGTAGCTTTTTCTCTTATGAGGTAGACTCAAGAATGAAGACTTGTTTTATTACAGTCCCCTTAAAGGAACAGGGTTTCAAAAACAAAACATAACACTCGACCTCTATAATTCTAACACTCTTGAATATGATAAAATCTAGTTGCAACATGTCTCTAAAGAGACAGAGGCAGGTAGACAGTTTAGAAACTAGCATGCTAAGAGAGGTGTTCTCTGGAGCTGTGATTGAAGAGGGAGACTAAGGGACTCGGGAAATCACAGCTTCATCACAGGAAGGATTTTCAGAAAGCCTAAAGGAGACAATGACATGTAAGAAAAAATGTGTATATGATAAAAAGTTTCTAAGTTCATCTTATAACATCTCTGCTCTCACATTAACTAGAGGAACCCTGGTTAAAAAAAAAAAAGTTGGAAAAAAATTTACATCGATTACATGTTTTTGATAAACGTGTGTTATTTATTTGACACTCTAAAATTGATTTGCAGTGTCAACCAGGCTATGGGAAGCCTATGTTTCTGTTCATATCCAATACACTGATCTCAGCCAGTTTAGAATGGGGAACAACTGTGAAGAGTCCAGTGTAAGTTTACAGGTAAGAAAGGAAAGAGGGGGTCAGAAGAAATTTTTAAAAAAATGTTTCTCAGCATTAACAGAAAGAAGAATCTCTTGTAGGAAGAAAAATGTAAGGAGACGCTATAAGCACCAGTTGAGATCAGAAATTAGGAAGAAGAGGCAAATGTAATGATTGTTTCAGAAATAAGAGACATCTTATACTTACCAAATTATCAGTTTCTGGATCTTCACAGAAAAAGGGTTTCCCTTCTTTCTCCTGCTTCCTTACAAAATTTTCAATATCTACATCAAAACTAGCAGAAGTTGTGCCTTCTGAGCCTTGTGTAGATTGTTCACATTTTTCAAATAATAGTGCTAACAAGGGAAATAGTGGGTGCCTAGAATGAAAGTTAAAATACATGAATAAGTATTTTCACTTATGTGTATACCACTGAAAAGTAAGACATCTAGCTCACATAAGGTAACAGTCACTCACGTAAGAAACAAAGACAAATCTTGGAGGAGACTGCATATAATACCACTGGCTATAGCAAAACATGATGAAAGCTTGGAGTTTTTTTCATTTTGATTTACCACACACTGTAGAGGCAAGTAAAGCACTAAAATATTTATATTTAAATAAAGATAACAATCACAAGCTAAAAAGCTATGCCATACTATTTAATTCACTGTAACCGAGTGGCAAGAGATAAGTTAACACAGTGCATTAGAAACGAGGATTAGGATATACAAATAGGATGAATGCAGACTTAGATTATGAAATAAAGTCTGATAAAATTTATTTATTCTTCAATGTGGGCCCTATTTATACATCACAAATAACTTTACAGAACTGAGAATAGTATCCAGGCTGTGCTCAGAGGCCTACTATGAAATCATACTCAGAGCAGAAGACAATTTTGTTAACACAAGTCTGTAAATGACTGGATACATCTTTCTGATCCAGGTTTTCAGTTGTATTTTTTTTTACCTGCAAACTGGTAATAACTGTGTCTTTATAAAGTACTTAAGGTGAAAGAACACTTAACTTCACCAAAACTGAGCATACTGCTTAGCACAGCATGTAACACCAGAAAAGTCCCAAATCAGTGCATTTATACATCAACATTTAATCCAGTTTGAGCTAATTATTAGGCAACAGACTGTTATCCCTAAAGAAAAGTGAGTAAAGATCAACCTAATTACAATAAAAATAAAATCTCACTTTAAAGGTAAAAACTACAGTATAAAAAAGTGACCATAGTTCAACAGTTCGAGTAGCTTCCTAAACTTCCTTTCTGCTTTAAAGGCAGACACCTTTAGAATACTCTTTAAAACTATGCTGAGATTGAAGAATCCCACAATAAAGGCAAGTTGTTTTCTTCTGTCTGAAGACTGACACTGAAGCTAATTTGATCTCATTCTTTCCCTGCAAACTACTGGGACAGTTAGCCAAGAGATCACCTGATTTTAAGCTACTTATTATTAATTAAAAAAAAAAATTCTCTATTCTTTACCCTTCAAAAGACAGAACACAAGTCCATTACTACCTGTAAATGGCCTGCTTGTCTGCATCCATTGGAGTCTGAGATTCTACAGGGGCAGGACTCACTCCTTCTGCATCAGTTTCAGAGCAGTTGGGATCTTGTTCAGTTTTTAACTCTGTTACTACTTGCATCTGTAGAAAAAGAGTAAGTTATAAGTAAATCTGTATGCTTGACATAAAATAAGTATATTGTTCTCTAAAGAAATAGCAATGCAAAGGGCTACTAAATTGCCAGAAGGCTGGTATGACTTGGCAGTTACACAAAAAGCTCTAGCAGTAACAAAACTCCTCTTTTAATCCTTGGCACTTTTTGATGGGTAGTATAAAGGTCACTTCAAGTTTCAGCATTCAGCTTTAAAACAGGAATGACAGATATTAGTAAATTGTTACAGTATTTTGTCTCTGAAGTGGCTATTTTTGGAATAGGCTAGCAAAAAATAGGATTTTTTTTTTTTGCTCCAAAAAAATTTATGGGGATGTCTGCATAAGAAGCCTTTATGATGAAAACAACAGAAAGGAAAGTCTCTACTCTTAAGTTTCTTTCTGATAGTACATTACGTCAAGATACTGAAGAAAAAGAGAGCCTCAAGTTTTTCTTCTCCATTAAAATGTGCATTTTCTTACAAAGAACTTAAATATTCTGTGTCCCTCCAACTTTTAAATTATCAGGAGCATAACTCCCCCTGACCTTCACCACTCAAATTTACATATTGTAATAACATTCTTTGAGGAATATCAAGCTACTGGAGAAAACAGCAATAACTCTTCTACAAATTCATTTAACATACTGTTTGCCACCACTGGAATAACAACATAGAACCACAGCTTCCACCAAGCACCTCCTAAATTGCACTAGAGCCTGCTCATGACTTTTACGTGCTTTGAAGGTGTTGAAAGTGGTTTTAGCATCACCTCCAGCTACGTATCTTTCAAACTAAAAGGTCTTAAAGGAACCTGAACTCTGAAAGTCATAGTTTCCACCTCCCGAACCCAAACTCTTTGGTTTTCTCCCCTTTGAGCACTGGGAACATCTGTATAAAGACAATAAATAACTGCAATACTTTTTTTTTCCTACTTTAACCCTACCAAGTTTTATCTCAAGTAGAGGACATGCACTGTTCTAGATATCACCAGGCAGCCAGAACTGACACCTGCAGAAAGTCATTGTATGGAATGCAATTCTCTGTCCTCTTTTCCAATGAGATGTACATATCACATCACCCACAGGAACCCTCCAAGAGGAGGGCTGGCCTCCAGAGAACCTCACTCTGACAGAATTTAATCTACTTCTACACAACATAACCAAAAGGAATTTATACTATTCCCAATAAGTCTGGCAGAACCAAAAGGTTTGTGCTTTATTATCTGTCAGGGCCAAGCCACCTCCTAGCAAAATCAGAAACTGAGAAAATGTCATCACATCCTACCCAACAGAGCAGCCTGCCTTGCAAAAAGCTTCCTCAGCAAGCACATGATTTTTAAGCCAGAATGCTTGCAAAAAAGATGCAACTAATGGACTAATTTCCTGGCTAATGACAAGAAGGAGGAGCAAAATAAAAGGAGATGACTCATGCAAGTGATTATAAATGTTGAGCCATACACCTGCAGAGTTTGAAGGGAGAGAATATGTTCAGTTAGGGCTCTATCTCACTAGGAAGAAACAGCTCACTCAAAACGGCAAAATATGGGCCATTTTCAAACTGCAAAATCATCAGGCACCCAAATTACCTGTCTATCTGGGTCAGTGAGACCTTAAAATATAAAACAAATGGAAAAATAAATGCTCTCTCCCAATCCATTACAAAAAAATGTATTACTTTCATTGACCTGTCATGGGATGTCATGTATTTGTTGGGAGAATAAAGTAAAAGATGTAAGGTAGGTGAGAGGAGAGAGAGGAATTAGAATTGCAATAAAAGAAGCAAACAACAACAAAAATCAATAATCCCAGACTGCATTCAGATAAACATCTTTACATATGTGTTGGGAAAAGTTGACGGTTTTCTTCCGACGTTTCCCCTGTGTTGCCATCTGCTGACAGAAGCACTTTTATTTACTGCTTAGGGCTGACACACAGTAATATAAAAATGGGTCTTCAGATTACAGGCCATGGCATGACTTGTCTCCAGTTAACAGTATTTTAATTTAGCAATTCAAATTATTGCAATATACAGCCTGTTGTACAAAAAAGAAACATCATGAACAGACCTATCTGAGTATGTCTCATTATTCTAGCTCTTAACAGAAATAAGAAACTGGAAGCCCACTGATCACCTTTCTAATTAGCAATTCTAATCAATAACCTCATTAAAATTAATTCAACTATTTTACCAGTTTTCAGCCTGCAGCATAATTGTATCAACTTAAATGTAGTTAAAGTAGCATATCACTCTGGATAATTAAATTTATCCTTCACTTCCTCAAGACCAATTAGTGTTACTCTGTAAACGTCATCAATCTATTGTAGCTGTAGACATACAACACTGAAGCATCACATACACGAAATATTACAGATGCCCATTTGACCTTCATAAAAATATGAATATTACAGCACACAAATCGTCTAGAGCAAATTCAGAAGAAAACTCCTTATCTAGCCATTCTTCCAGAAGTTGATCAAAGTCATGCAAAGATTAGCCAAGACTTTAATAAGCATCCAAGTACTAAAGAATAGCAGCTTATCACTTTAAAGATCTTGTTTTACAAACAAGAACAGATATTTAAACGCCAAAGCAAGCATTAAGGAAAAAGTCACTACTTTTTTCCTCTTACTAACTGTATTTAATTGACAGAGAAAGAAAAGCACAGCTACCTGTTGTCCATCTTGATAGTTGTCTATACTTAATGTCTGTGTTGCCATCATGGTTAATAAAACATTAGTTATGTCAAATCATCATAAGTATGAGCAAATATTCTAAAAAGAAAAAAAAGAAAATTCAGTTACAAGAGTGATTACTTAGGATCCCGTTCTAAAAGACAAAAAAATATAAAGATTTATGTACACCTCTTCCCAAAAGATCAGCAAGTTTACTGACAATGATAGTTAGGTGCATTGTTCTCAAAAAAAAAAAAATCAAATCATGTTGAAAAGTGCAACAGGTTTCATCAGCAAAACGTTCATTGTATCATTCTATATTTTAACGTATGATTTTTAATAAGAAGCTGATGTTCTTTTACATTTACAAATTTTAAGTAAACTTTAGTATTTATTTTTGCACTACTTAACTAACAATTCTAAGATAATACATAAAATCTAGAAACAAGCAAAGATTTGTGTTTCTGTGTTTTGAAAAGGCTAGCAACACACCAAGCATTACTGCAACTGAAATAATAATAGTCTACAACTGATGAACCAAATGTAAAAAGTGTTAAGGAATACTCTATTTACTTATGAGTATGAATCCATATTCTAAAGTTAGGAACTGAAATTACTTTTAGAAACCAAAGTTTCAAATCACTTCTGACATCAGGTTTCTACCATTCAAGTAAGCCATTTAAGGCTCAATAAAGAATGGAACAATATCTAATAAACAATTGGGCCTACATGATTATATAGTTTCAAAAGTGACCTTGGAATTCAGAAGTCTCATTTTTGTAGACATCTGATAATTTGGGAAATATTAATTTTATTATGATTTATAATACAAGTAGATTTATGTGTGTTATTCCCTGTAAGCATTAGCTGGAGTTTAGTGCTCAGATGAGTCGAACATTTTTTAAAAAGCCAGACATCCAGTAATTTTAAAAAAGGATTTAGCATAGCACCACGACCAGATAGTTTATCCATCAAATTACTAATTTACATGTCATCTTCTTGTCAGATTAGCAGCCATTATAACTGAAAGCACATAATTCATTAAGCTATTACCATAGAACTCCATTTTCCTTGACATGTAGGAGTTCCACTGTTCCGCTATTATAAAAAAATATTCATATTAGAAAAGAAGAGCTCATGTCTTGAAAAATATTACATCCAGGTAGTAATTCCAGGTTTTCTGTTCTCTTCCACTTATATCAGTATTGGAGAACTAAGTTTTAGAATTTTCACCAGTTTAAGATCTGAAATAAAGCCTTTTTTCTTTGTAATGTATTTAAGCACTATAGATTTTTCAACTAATTTTAAATCTTTCCTTCACCATTGCATACTATTACAGTATATGACCATTTTGAAGAGCAATTTTTACATTTCTGGGTATTTTTCCCTACAGATTACAACAGTCTCAAGTTGATGTTTCATACAGGAAACACATGACACATTTCAGGATTCCCTTCTTTGTTTACTTAATAGTTTCAGGCACAGAGACAAACCTAACTCCTCAGGACAGATCTCAAGCCTTACTTTGCATCAAGTTCTACTCAAAGTGTGATTCCTAAGCATAACTGCATTTTTTTTTTTTTTTAACTGCTTTAAAGACCAGAGAAATTCACCAGGATGACGTAAGCATGATTTCCTTTACAAACTAGGTTGCTGACTTTCACTCACTCATGCTTAAATGGAGCTGTTACTCTTTGGGAGCCTATGCTATTTTACACGTACAAAAGCATATTGGGAACCACAAATATCAGCAGACAGAACAGATCTTGGTTCTGGCATTGGATCATGTGCTTGCAGATCTGAACAAGTTTCTATCTGTAGACAACATGCATAAATCCTCTTAAATATCTTATGGGTACCATACTAGCTAAAAGGTACGCTACAGTTTGGGAATTACAGTGCTGAAGTATGTTTTTCTTAAGAATACTCTTTTCCTCTGCAAATTGTAAAGACTGCATTTAGAGTTCTTCTAATAGCTTTAATGAAAGCATTTTCTAGTTCTAGTTTGTCTACCTGTCTTTATAGAACATTGGTAACTCCTTCTCTGGAACTCCAAAACTATTACTGATTTCTCCACCAAAATAAAAATAAAAAAAAAAAAAAGGGGGAATGACACAGATATACTCACTGATGGAAGTACTTCAGATTTAAAATTATTTTTTAATAGTTATGCATAATTTAATGTTAAAGTTAAATCAGCATTTGCCACAATAGCAAAGTGAGATATCTTTCACAATACTTTAAGGGGACACATTCTAAAACATCAGCCATGTAAGAATTTGCTTTACATTAAACATACACTTTCTTTCAAAAACAGTAGCTTACAACCAAGGCATTAATGTCTTTCTGTATTTATAGAGTGAATGGGCACATACAGAATGCCGCTTTTCTTCCTTCTCAAAAGGCGCACATTTAATTTCTGACTGTGATATCCAAAGCACAGACCAGACTACCCTCAAAATAAAAGAACAGTTGAACAGATCAATAAAGGGTAGACACTAGTGATTGTTTTAGAAGCTGAAGAATTCCCTCACAAAACACCACTAGAGAAATTGGCTGTGGGAGAAAGATGAAGTTTAGTCAGAAATGAGAATATAAAACAGTTGCAGAAGAGGAAGAAAGTCTTAAAGTTAGCAAGGATGTGAGATCATATTAATGACACAAAGAACAAGATGGAGAGAGAAGCAAAAAAGATAACACAAGTAAACTGGTGAAGACAACAGGACATGACAAGAATTTCTGGAGAATGAGAGAAGCTGGACCAACCCTTCCTTCCAGATTTCCATAAGAAAAAGACATTCCACATCTGGAAATCCCTCAGGCCGCACGAAGGAAGAAAGAGGTGCACAGCTTTGAGCTAGATCCATAGATTATTTCATGAAGAACAACTTTTGCTCTATGGCAAAATGGCTGGAAAGAATTCTACGTGGGTATATCCTTTATTTTCCCATAAGAGCTTCCCCTCTGACTTATAATTACAGTAGAATAAGATTAAGCTATTAGGCAAGATAGCAACTGATGAGATTTAGTGAAGACAACTACTGCAAATCAAGAAGAACAAATTGAGCTAATCACATACTTAAACTGAGGCAATTATCTAAGGAATTACTTTGGTTCACTAAAGAGACACATCTCCTCATTACCCAGTAGTGGTAAGAAACAAACTATGCTAAACTTTAAGAAAAGTAACTGAAAAGGTATTTACACATTTGGCTTTTATAACCTAATTTAGGATACAGCATCCAGTTCTAGTTAGCAGATACAGAGCCTAAGCAGATGTTCATTCTGCAAACAACGATGCTAGGCAAAGCTGGTATCGCTCCCAGATGTTTATCACTGCCATCCTGCCAGAGCTAATTACTTCCACAGCTCTACCACTGAGCTCACAGAACACGTGAATGATTTCTGATCCTTTTTACATGAAGTCAGCTAGGCTAGTTCAGCCTGCTGTTAAAGGTGGCTATGATGTAAACCAGCTGACTTTGTCTGAAGCACATTGCTGTGCAATCATACAAGCCCTGCTCTTGGCTGACCTATTAGTGTGGTAGTTTCTGGTTCATGTGTGGCAATTATCAGCTCACAGCAGGACCATCTTTAACCAGCACAGCTATACCCAATAGTATATGGCCTAAGGTATCTGAAGTGAGCCTAAGAACATATGACTTCTGGACAACTTAGCTTTAAAAATGCCAATTATTATTTGTTAAAGTAATAGAGAGTAGAACTCTCCATTACTTTAACAAACTGTGTTATATTCAAAGAGTTACAAACAACAAAGATAACCCAAGGCTGAGAGAGCCAGCCAGTCTGCTTCATGCAGAACAGTATTAACTCTCACTCTATTTTGAAAACAAAGTGTGAGGAAAACCCAAGGAAATGTTTAAGTTACATAAACTGGAAGCTGATACATGAACTGCAATCAGAAACTCCATAGATATCTGTGGTGAAAGGGAATTCATAAAAGCATGGTGTTCTGCAAAACAAGGCGAAAGGAAAAATTCTAACCTTTAATAAAAGTAAGTATGAAGGTAAAATGTAGAGTAGAAAGGAAGCTAAATTAAGAGGGGTAATCATAATTAGAAATGTGGAGACTTTGTGCAAATTAAGGAGTACCTCAGAGAAGAGATTAAAGGTGAGCTGAAACATGTACACAAAGCGATCACTCAACATACATCACTCCTCACCTGCTCTACTTACTCCTTCATAATTAAGAGAAAAGGGACCACCCAGCAACATTAACATAAGGTGCAAGTAAGCTGTTGGAGTTCAGTAATATCATTTTTAACGTATACAAGCTACAACAGATGTTTGTAAGAGATATAAATACTTATGCTTCAGGGTATAAACTAACCACTAACTGTCTTAGGGTTGTGAAGAAACTATGCAACAGACTTGTTAACAAGTAATCATTCCTTCTAATTTTCCTCTATACACATTCCTTTGAAGTCCTTCAGAGAAAAATGGACGATTGGCAGATTGAGTATGGCTATTTGTCCACTCTTATTTAACTTTAGTCCTGGCACTTGCTCTGTAACATAGATCTTTATGTTCACATACAAAGTTAAAAGGAAGCAAAAATCAAAACAGCAAGCCTGTTTGACACATGAAAAGCACCTAGAACTAGCTTTTCTTTTCATCAAAATACATAATATTTGCTTCCAGGGCACACTGCTTTCTAAAGCAGATAAAATATTGGCTGTGAGAGAGCTGCTCACCCTTTTCCTTCAATGGGCTGAAGACGACATTATCTTGTTCCAGTGGAGCGATCACACTGAAGTACAGCGTAGAGGACAGAAACCTAAAATCAACAGGGAAATATTCAGGAGGAGACAATAACACAGAACATACTTTCTGAGACTGAATATGATTAAAGAAAATATTTTGGTTTATTATGTAGTTCCCTCCCCAAGTTTAAAAAAAATGACAGGGTTTTTTTGCATGTTTTGCAAATTTTTTTTTTGCATTTTTAGTAATACCTAATTGTACCCACTATCCCATGCTATTATTTGAACTTTCCCTCATCTTACGCCACCTCTAACAGAAGGCTACATTTGGACTGCTAACTTGCTTGCTATTCAACCTTCATATTCATAGACTAGACAAGACACATGCCAAAAATAAAACTATGAAAAGCAAATAGGAGTAACTCATCAGTGTTGTAAAAATTAAGCATGAAACCAAGAAAGGGAAAGCCTTTTTAAAAATTTAAATCTCCTTTATAATCATGCTTTGATTTTACTATGGATTGTATTCTAATAATGTTTATGATCAAGTAACCTGCTACATGATAAAAACTAACAGACTACAGGAAGGAGCATGAGCCATTGTTAGAATCATGTGTTCTGTCAAGACGGGTTCTGCTACAGGTTAATTCAACTTCAAAAAGCTGTCAAAAAATTACCACTTAAAATTACTTTAATTACATTCCATTTAATAGCACCTGTTTGATATATTAAAGCTACTTTTAAAAAGTAGTAATGATTGTGAAAATGTATTTAGAAAACACAACTGCTGAAAAGCATTAAAAAAAGCCTGTAAAACTCTCTCAGGGGAAGTTCCAAACACTAATGTTGCACAAAGGCCATCTGAAATGATATGATGGCTAAAACACACAGCTGAGATCTTGAACTAGATTACCTCTGTTTCTCACACAAAGTTCCTGTGTTATCAGTTTTGATAACTGCATAAGAACTGGCATGAAAGTAACTCCAACATTTCTGAAAGTGAGATTAAGTTGGTATTTGGGTTTTAGAACCGAAATTTATCCATGTGTAGTATAGAAGTAATGTTTTTCAGATAAATTCACAGAAAAACAAAATGCTAAGGGCCACAATATAAATGCCATCTTTGGTTCATGAATCCTAGCTCTAAAAGAGCAGGGAAGATACTTGGAGGAGTTATAAAGCAGTATAAGCTTCAGCCATTGGTTAGAGATGAAATACTGAGCTAGAGGGAGTTTCAGTCCAAATTGATACACCTGGTCTTGAAGCTCAAAGTGCAAATGACACATTACAAGTTCTTACCACTTTTTCTTAAACTGTCAAAGATCTATGTCCCCAAAGAACAGGCTCCTCTCATTTTTGCAACTTCTTAATTCTGTTCTGAGAAGACAGTGTATCCTCTTATTTCCCTCTTCACACGCTATTTATCTACTAATAATTTTGGTACTCATTTTCACCTACCTCAACTTACTGGGCAATTTTCAAATATAGGCCTTCTCATTATTCTTAGCATCTTCTGAATGTAGGTCATTGCCAGATAAATTGGGATTATCTATTCCTTGTCTCTGCTCAGACGTAAAGAAGGGCTACTTCACCATTGCAAATCTGAAAAAACAGCTCCCTTCACGCAGAAACAACTGCAGCAAAGAACTGATTGTGCCACTGCTGCCAGATCTGGTCAGTCAAAATATTTCACATTTGATGAAGTAGCCCTTGCCTGCAAAGCCTTCAGCTGAAACTCTGGAAACAGTCAAGTTTCTAAATAGCGTATGAGATATCGAGGGCAGAAAAAAAGAGGTACTGAAAAAATGCAGGCCCAGGTGAAAGATGCTACAGAGGAAAAGGTTTGTCTGAGGAGCCAGAGGACACTGCAGTCATACTGCCTTCTTCAAAGAGACACTTAACAGCAATTAAGACTAGAGTCTACCTTAAAACATATCAGACAAGAAAACAGGAGAGAGCTGAGCTTGTATGTTATGTCCTCTCGCATATCTCAGTGGGGGCAGGAACAGGGAGCAGATATACCTGTTAAAGGATGGAGACAACACCAAGGCACTGTGGAACCTAAACTTGGAATCGCTATTGCAAATTTGTTTTTTCCTTTTATTCCTCTTGCAGACAAGATTTAAAGTCATGTTATCATAATAAAGAGTATACTTAACTATGACACCAAAACCAAGGGCAACTTGCTTTGTCACTTAAAAAGCGTATCACAACTGGAGTTTTTACTACAAAGCAAAATATGACCTTGTTCATTCAAGTATAGAAGAACCCTCTTTGCAGTCTTTCTCTCATTTTGCATCTCAGCTGGTAAGAAACAGACCTGTGCATACATTCACATATACAAATATTAGCAGACATTAAGTTCAAGGTACATTTATATTTTCAGAGATTCAAATAATAATAATGAAGCAATACACAGAGTATATATGACAACATGCCACCAAGGGATTCATTCTACCTTTGCTGCAGTGGTTATCTATCTCCATCAACCTGCCTACGAAGAGACATTCAGTAAAATTAAGACAAACAGATCAACATGAAGTTGATGCATACAAATTTATTAAAGCTGTGCTCAATGAGAGTGTACTCCTTGTGCAGCAGCAAGGTGGCTTCTATTTCCTCTATCTTACATACTTACTAAGTATAGTCATTATTTAGAAAATGATACTTTTAGAAAGATGATGTTCCCATTCAGGAATAAAATACCAGCCTCAGGGAGTTGCACTATACAGACAGAGCTAAACAGTTATTACTCAACAGCGATATTGCCAATTTCCCTGAGAGACAAGCCCTAAAAAGCCACAAAACTAATTTTCGGCTCCAGTAAAATTAGATTTAATTTGTATCACTTTTTCCCTTTATTGTTTGGTGGTGCAATAAAGTTATTTATATATTAATCTCAATCAATACGAGATTACATTAAAAAACTGAATGCATATTATACTTTAAGAAACTGAAAATTAAAAAGAAATTAAAATCCACCACTGAAGTTAAATTTCTTCAGAAATACAGGCTACGTTAGAAGCTATTGTCAACCTGTCTTGGCCTGTAGGATTTTGAACATATACACTATCTAACACTGACTTTATTCAGCAAGACCTCTCCAACAATATATATACTACTTTGTTGTCCCTTTAATCTTTCATAGCATCCTCTTTTCATACCATCCCATTTCAGAACTTAACAAGCCATACAAAGTATTTGTGTCACAGACTACCTTCCAAGCTTCACCACACAATGTCATACAAGCATGACAAACAAGTCTCATGAAAAGATTTTAATTCCTTTAGCAATTCACTCTTGTTGTAAACTCTGCTTTCGGTATTTTAAAGGAATTCTGGAAATTCTCCTGTCTGCAGGTACCGAGTATGAAAAATAGTATTATAAAAAAATGTGCCACTTCACAAGCTAAAATTGCATATGCGGTAACTGATAAAATTGATATTACTGACACATAAGATAATATAAATTTCTCAAGGCACAACAAAAGCATAATTAAAGGCATCTGAGTCTTGAAAAACTTCCAGCTCCTTAATTCTGCACACATCCTTTGTGTTTACACCAGTAAGCATATTTCTTGGGAAGCAGGCACAATCACAGTTCATGTTCACAGTTCGTGTAATCACCAATTTTACCATAGTGCTTCTTAATGACGAGGAAGAGAAAGATGAGAAATCCTACCCAATCTAGTCATAAAATAATGTCACCTCAGGATGCTAAGTATCCTGCCTCCAAGTAGCTCTCAGCATTGCAAGAGGAAATCCTCAGGTTGCTCTCCTACCTTCTGCAAAATGAAAACCTCATTTTTCCATTACAAGATTCTCAAATTCAAGAAACTTCTGGCAGCATCTCAGTTTCTCTTACCCATCTCACACTGTAATTTGACCCTGCTTTATTAGTTCCATGAAGTAATAGTAAGGAATTAAGGGGACTAAACAGAAATTTTGGTAAAAGGAAAACAAAACTTGGGGGAAAGGAAACCTCCCTTCCTTAATTGTTCTAATTAGCAATTGGGATTAGGGGAGCAAAATTATCTACCATCACTCCATCTATGCCCGATATTCACATAGTAAATGAAGATTCCTTTAGGGCTTTTTTTCCTGTATCCTTAACACTGCAAACTGCAGGACTTTTTACGGTTCTTGCTTGTGAATCCTAGCATAAACATGAATCTTCACACATATGTACTTGCCACAGGACAGAGGAGAATTTTTTCCCTCTCAATATTTACCCAACATGCTGTGTTCATAAAATTTTAGACCCAAAATCAAGAAGATAGTGTAGTATCTGCTTTGCTGCTATCATTGTAAGAGGACTGCATTAGAAAGACTACCAAAAGCCCCTCACATACCAGAGGACATGTATCAGCAATTCCACTGCTGGAACTGATTTTGGTACAACCTCCCTACTTAATTGTATTTAATTACTTTTTCAAACACAATTTCTTTCAAAAAAAAAGAGAACTCCACCCTCCACATTTCCCCAGCATTCCCCACATGGATAAACAACAGGTTTGCGTATGTGCTAGACACAATTCCATTCCTTTGCCACTGAAGCCTTTGGAATGTCCACACAAGCATGTAGTCAATCTCTTACTTCTGGAGACACTCATTTCATCATATCCTTCCAAGCAAATTAAACCAAAGTAACAGGAAATCCTATTTTCATAATGAATTGTATGAGGACCCAATAAACTATGACCAAAATTATTCTTGTTTTGTGTTTATACTTTGTGGTTTCATAAAAAAGACACAGAATAACCACCAATCTCACTATGCCTTTATTGCTGTTGAATACAATGTTAGCAAGCAGTTTATGTGAGCATATGTAAATTTCCCAACATTTTTATTATAAAATCATAAAAGTTTCTAACGATTCTATGAAAGACAGAATTCCTAATGCTACTGAAGTACAGTTAAAGGACGAAGAATTTTGTTTAACTAATAACTACATCTATAATTGATTTAAGACGTTGAATATGTAAGAAAATCCCCTCTACACATTTTTGGCATTTAAACACTTTATCAAGATTAAGATGTTCCACTGTCAATTATTTCATTTTCACATCCTTTATGATTTCAGAAATAATGAGCCTGTCAGTGAACCAAACACTAACCTGGACTAGCTGAATAAACTAAAGTGACACAAAATCCTGGTCCTGCAACCCTCTGTCGAATCCAGTTCCTATTGGTCAGTAACTTTTCCAGAAATCTTCCCTCTTTTGACTCTAACATTTGGTCAAACATGAACAACTTTGATTTGCTACTAAGTTTAGATCCTACAAATGAGCTGTTATTTTATTTTCAAAATGGTGACTAACTAAAAATTCTTCCTTTCCTGCTCCACTTGGTCTACAACTCTTTAGCAATGATGAACCAGAAGCAATCAGGTCAACCGGTTTTTGCAAGGAAGGTGTGATGTGCTCTAGCCTCCTCTGTTCCTGCTCCCAACGCTCTTCATGCTCCCTTTTCTACCCATGTTCTTTCTGCTCTTCAGCCTCATACTACCCTTCCCCTCACTGTTCCTCCTACACCAATGTACAGCTTGTCTTCTTACTTCTTGCCCTCTTTTGTTCTACTCACTTCTGACAATTTGTAATATTTCTAGTACCATCCTTTTCAGGTTCCTGGGCCTAATGCATTTCCACCAAGCTTCAAGCTGTGTTCCTTATCTCTCCCCCAACACCAGTCTTCATCCCTCCATGAGTATGACTGCTCCCTAAGCATGCCAAGACTGGGGGAGAGGCACAGATAAAGAAAGACTATTTAGGATTAAACTTACCCATCACCTACTGCTGTGGGATGCATCATGCTTAACTACTTGGTCCAGATGATGACTGCACAGTCAGGTGACATGCAAGGACCAACAGAGAGGAAGATACTTGTGTTACATGGAATATTCAGATAACTTAGTTAATAAATATTTGCCCAGTAACATGCGTGAACCAGTTTTTCAAGAGCTTATTATTCGTTTAAGTTTCTTGAGGAACCATCATACACTCCATGTGAATGCTTCCGCTCTCTTCCCCTCTCTCCCCTGCAATGCTAAATTCCAGAAATCAAGTGTTGATATGCTCTTAAGTAAGGCCAACAGACATTCCTGCCCCTGCCCCCGCCCCCCCTTTAAATTAAGATATTTACTTTCTCAAAGTCCTTTTCAAAATGCTGAGTCATTTAAACTTAAAGTTTATGTAATAAACCTACTCAAAAATATTCATCATGGCAAATTTCAGTATGACTAAGAAAAACGCTACTGAAAACACCTCCTCAAAATAAAAAAAAAATAACCAGGTAACCTTACTCCAGGCATCGCTACTATCATGGCCTGGAACACACAAAAATGGGCTAGACCATCTATAAATTAAGTGATCATATAATGGCCTGGAAGTTCTTTAGTTATAAAAACATACAACACAGCACACGTTCTCTAGGCATGTTAAACATGTGTAAAGCTCCCATTTGTTTTATAATGGCCTCTGTTTCCTTTGAATATAAAAGACTTGGACTTTTTCAGTAATAAATATTATAATATCCTTTTCCCTTTGTTTTGTTTGCTATCTAATTTGAAAAAAGCTAAGCAGGATGTGAAATATAGCCACTTTTCCTAACTTCCTCTGTCCTCAAGAAAAAACACAGGCAATTCCAAAAGCTCACACAAAGTATAAAATATAAATTGGAATTTGTTTGGTTTAAAAAAATGGTTCCCTCTTTTATTACATAAGCAGTAAGCTACCATATTCTACACTTTTGTTTGAATTTACTGTCAGCTGCAGAAGATGACAGTTACAGACTCATAGGTATAGCAGGCTAAGGGACAGTACATGATTATCAGAGTCAGTTAGCTCCCATTTTCAAAAATCACCTTTTGACTGTCTAATGACTTAAATGGCCTTCCTGTTTAATAGCAAATACCTCTTTTATAAGAAAACAATGAGAACATTATGGCCTGGAGTAGCTGCTGTATGAAAAAACAAGCAAGTGCCTTCATAGGAAGGATGATAAGCAAGCATGTGACGGCAAGCAGACCTAAGTTTTATTTCCACTTCTAACACCAACTTCCCTCTTGTCCTTCAGTAACACACACGGCTTGGTATCCCCATGCTGCTGGCAGGGGAAACCAAGTTACTGCCCTTCACCAGCTTCATAAAACCATGCCAGTGCTCCATTAACAACAAAGATTGGTATTTCCAGATTCTCAGCGTCTTTACTTTCTACTCCACCCCTAGTTCCATTTGATGATACACGTTTCACAGTTACGACACGGAACAATCTTACTGAACAAAGTGAAGGACCTGTGAACAAACGTGAATATTTCAGCATTCAGTTATCTTGGGGAGAGCTATAATGGTCTGAGTAAAATACTTCAGTAACATCTGGCACCAGGTAAGCAAAAGAAAGAACTCTATCAGCAGCTTTTTCCCCTGCTCTTGGAATCCTCTTGCTTAGAAGAGCAGTAAGTTGTTACATTTTGTACAGCATTGAGCTGTGGTAAAATACTACCCCCTCCCCAAGAGACTTATAATCTGTGAACCTACAGACTCTTAACAAGTGAGACTGAAGCAACCAGCTGTGAGAACAAGTAGTAACATTTGTGGAAGTTTAAATTTCACACACACAAAAATAATTCAGTCTTACTTACACCAAACTAAAAATATTAATCTGATTTATTGTGAGCTTTCACGTGTCCCAGTTTTGCAGAGGTAACATTTGGCTCCCAAACCACTACGTAATATTCTGAAATACAATTTGGACTACATCTCTCTTCATTCGGGACATTAACAGCGCCATTAGAACAAGCAGTTCCGCTATCAAAGTAGTGGTTCTATGGATCATTCACGCTTGGACATTAGTACAGGGCTTAATAACAGCGAAAGGGTGATTCTTTTCCAGGAAATTGAATTGCTCCTCAACACTTCTAAACTTGCTGTGGTAGCAATGAAAATTATTATGACTTTATTACAGCACTGCCTTTACAGTACAGGGAAAGGTATGAGAAAAATACAGTTGGAAAGCAAAATTCTGAACGTACAGCTTGTAGAAGACATATTCATTTTATAAGACTGAAGTATTTAGAATAAACATTCTAAATTTCATTCATTCTAAACTCCTTCCAGCTGCACTAGTGGAAGACTGCAAGGACTTACTTTTAAAATGTTATTTTTATATTTAAAATATAATCAAAATCTTTAAAATTGTATCCAGATTAAGAAAGAGTACAAATCAAGGCTGTAAGTTACTATTAGACTAACATTTTTACATGCCAAAGTGAAATTTCCAAATACAAAATAAAATCCCAATCAACTGTAACAATAACATACATGAAATTTGAAGAATTCCTGGTTTTCCTGTTAGCACATAGGAAATGGTAACAAGATAAATTCCAGTCCAGCAAAGCACTTTAAGCACAGAATAAGACCCACTTGACATACAAGACAAGTATTAGTCAATTTATGCGGAGAAGGGTACACAGGCAAAAAAATGCATGCCCCAAAATCACTCAGGAGATCAATCAGAATGAACAGAGGCAGTCTTCAAAGTCTCAGTACAGTACAATAGCTTCTACACTACCTATCTTTTCCCTGAGAATGAAGTAAATGGAGCTCTGCCTTTCACCACTTAACTGAAGCTCGTGTTAAGAAAACATAGCGAAACCTACACTGAAGTTTTCCTGTGGATATTTTCTTGTCATCTTATGATTAAAGTATGTAAAGCGGTAACAGCTGACAGTAAAAATACAGTATATGCTTCACAAAATAAACCAAAGATAGAACATACATGAAAAAAAAATATCAGAATTTCTAAGATAGATTAAAACCAATTACCTAAATGTAAAATGTTTGGGTCTTTTTCCTCACAAGTTTTTGAAAACTTAAATGTAATGATTATATATGGCTACACACAGACTCAGAAAAGGGTAATTCTGCAGTTTTATTTTACAGAGCTACTTAGAAAATGTGCTCAAAATGCATCTGCTGTTGCTTGATACTCTAGCAATGACAAGGTCTGGAAATACATAGCGGGATTTCTGTTACAATCATGACAATTTGTTTCCTCGTTCAGTACAATCCATAAAATTTGTACACGCAGCTAACAGGGACTAACCAGGACTCATTCTTAAACAAGACTTCAGTGCTTACCCAGCTGCAGAAGCCGTATCACTTTAACTACACATATATAACTAAAGGTATATAATCTCATAGCACAGGCAGACCATAAACAGTTTATATCCCATAGAGGAAAGGGAAAAACCTGAAACTGTATTTACAGTATGGAGAATAGCAAGGTGCATGAATTTCTTAAGCTACAGTTGTTACAATTCACCTAATCAAACAATCTACAGCAGTGAAACTTTGTACAGGGCATGCTCTAGAATAAAATTATGAACAGTATTATAAACTAACTATATGTGCATGTTTTATAAAGACTAAGAAAGAATTCTTCAGCCTTTTAAAAAATCAATTAGATGAGACATTTAGCATACTTTGAAAATTATTTATACCCTCCTGCCATTCTCCATAGGATGCTGGCTCAACTGTTTTCCAGCATCCACAGACCAGAACATATTGTCCATGCTCTCTATTCCTGTGATCTGTTTAATGGAATGCACACATCGTATTCCAAAAAGGGGCAAAGACAAAAATGAATAATCTTGCCTGAATAGCTCTTAACTAAATGTGACAAGGGGGGAAAAAAAAAAAAAAAAAAAGAATTAATTGCATGGCATAGAAATTCACTTATAAGAGTGTCATACTTGCATCTAGAGTCTCATTCTCCCTCCCAACACCATACTATTAATTTACTTAGACGGAACTGACAAAAAGGGGTCACAAACTGCAAATGAAAAAAACACAAACTGTGACTGTGTCTCTAAAATTGTATTACACGTTCTCATTTAGGACAACAGAAAATATTTAGGAAATAATTTAAAAAGATAGCAATAAGCTATGCAGAGAAGTATCACACGGATGTGTTAACTACTTATACTGTTAACTGATGAACTCTGGGCCCTACAGCCGGCGTTGTGGGAATGAGGGAAAGCTATCGACTACTCCACGGAGACCTAGGACATGTGGCTAATTGAGGCAGTATTTCAGGATGAAACCAGCACTTGATTTATTATTGTTTACACACATCATAAGCAGGGCCTCTGGGCAATGTCAAGTTTCAGCTCCTAATTGCGGCTGTGTAAACACACAGGAAGGCTCGGTCTAGGTGTCAAGAAACCTCTACTCGTAACCGAGCCAAGAGACAATGAGGTCACATCAAAAACAAAAAAAGAGGAAGAAACCACCTCACGCCAGAACTGCGCACACTGCCCCAAGTGCCAGCCGCTAACAGAATCTGCTTTCTATGAATAAGCGGGGAGGGACACGCACCGCCACAGACGCGCCAGCCCCTGCTCTCCCGGGGCCGGGGCCGGGGCCGGGCTCCGCCGGACCGCGCCGCCGCCCCAATCCACACGGGGCCGGGGGGCAGGGTCTGGGGAGGGGTGGGGGGTGTGTGTGTGTCACCCCCGGCCCCCCGCGGCGCCGCCACGGGATCCACGCGCGGCCGCTGCGGCTAACTGCCGTCGGCAGCCCCCTCCCTCCCCAAACACACCATCCCCCCCGCCCCCCTGGCCGCACCCGGGGCAGGTGCGGCGGGGAGGCAGCTGCCGCGTCGGTTTGATCCCCGCCACAGGCGAGGGCTCCCCGGGCCGGGTCCACGGGGCCTGGGCACGGCAGCGGGAGGAGGCGGGGGCGAAAGGGACCCCGGAGAGCCCCCGCCGGGCGCTCCGCTCCGCTCTGCCTTGCCCTGTCCTAACCACCCCCACTCCCCTCCCCCAAGGAACGCCTGCCAACGCGGTGCTGGCCCTTTAAGTACCCCGGCGCCTCCACCCCCCCTCTCCCGTCGCCCCCTCTCCCTCCTCCTCCTCCTCCTCCTCCTCCTCCCCGCGGCCGCCGCGTCCCCCTCCGCGCGCGGCGCGCGCGCGGCGGCCCGCGCTCCCTCTCTCGCCCCGTCTCCCCTCCCCACGCGCGCGCGCGCGAGCGCGGCGCCTGCGCGCCCCCGCCGGCGCGCGCCCACAAGAGACAACGGTTACACAGCGGCCGTTCCAGAATTTTCCTCGCTCCAACCTCCCCCCCCCCCTCCCTCCCCGCTTCCCCCTCCCTCCCCTCCCCGCGCCTGCCCGCCACCGCCCCTAACCCCCCTCTGGGCGAGTTGCGGAGTGCGGGTGCCCCCTCCCCGCTGTTCCGCGTGCCGGGCTCGGCCCCCCCTCTCCCGCGCCTTCCCCAACCACCCCCCCCGGTCTGGTGGTGCGCCTGGGCCCGGCCGGCGGCGGCGGCGGCGGGCGCGCCGTGATGGATGGCTGGCTGGCTGGCTGGGAGCGGGTTTGAGTGACAGCGCTTACCTGGGTGCCAATCTTCGTCACACTGACAAGCGGCTGCAGCAATCGGGACCCGCACCGCCGCGACACGCGTCACCGCGCACACACGCACCCGGCCAATCACCGGCCGCGCTGCCCGAGACGACACCACGCCGCGCATCACGCCTCATCAATATTCACCGTAGGGGGCGGGGCGCGCGCCGGCGTAGGGAGGTGGCGAGGCGGGGCGGCCGCGCGCCACCTCCCTGCGCCAGCACCTCCCGGCTCGCGCTCATGAATATGGATAAAAGGGGCGGGGTAGCCCGGGCGGAGCCGGACACGCCTCTCCCCGGGGTCGGGAGGGGTGGGGGGTGAAACCATCTCCTCGGAGTGCTGGGGGGGAGGAGGAGGAGGGAGATACTAAGTGGCCTTGCAACGCGGGGAGAGGGCGGCAGCCGTGAGGCGGGGGCTGCCACAGGCGTCTTCCCGCCGCTTCTCCTCAGCCGGGGAGCGCTGCTTGCCCTGCGGCCGCCTCCGGGCTGGGGGTGTTGGCCCGCCTGGCACTGCCCGGGGAGGGGCGGGGATCCCCTGCCCTCAGCTGACTGCGTGTCGCCCCGCTTTGTGAGGTGCCCCCGAGGAGGACGGCGGCTGCCGCCGGGGGCGGGCGGGGAGACACCCCGCGCCCCACCATGAGCCTGGGTGGAGGCAGACGGTGAGGGGGTGGTCTCAGGGGAGGCCTCCCCGAAGACTCTAGAGGCCCGTGTCCCAGAAATTCAAGGGGAAACTTCTCCGCCCTGTGTCTGCTGCAGCTGCCTGGCGAAACTGCTCGGCAGGTCCTTTGCCGTGCTGTGAACCTTCCTCCCCCGAGCCTGCTCTCTTTTTCCAAATCCCGGTCCTGCTGCAGGTTTTGGGTGAGGGCAGACGCCACGCTGCAACCAACATATCCCCAGGACCTCAGGATCCCACCCTGAGGTCCTGCCATGACCCGAAACAAAGATGCTGGGTACAGATGTCTTTTACTGAAACGCTGCTTCCTTTTTCCACTGGGGAGAAAACAACAGTGTCACAGCATTTCCCTCATGTTTTACCACTGTTAAATATGCCCCGTTTCCCTAAACTGTTCTTAAGGAGCATGAGAAGCGGGGAGATCTGGTTTCAGGTGGACGCGTGCCTTGTGGCATAGCGATTTTGCTGTTGGGGGAAAAGTTTGTCTCATGTAGATTATCTGCTGTGTGAAAGGGCTTGAATGTACAGCTTTCAATGGGGTCACTGAGATGATCTGTCATCTCTACCTTGCTCCTCATTCTTAAGACACCTGAAAGATCATTTTAGCAACCTCTCTTGATTTGAGGGCAAAGGTAATCAAGGGTGGTGGGGAAGAAGCTGGTACACACAGAGCAAATACCATTTTAGGAAGCTCAGCTCAAAACCAAAGCAAGTTCAGTTTCAGGTTTTGTCGTCCCTTTGCACAATAGCAGCTGGGAATCTACTTGATTATCATGTACCCTGGTAAACTGGGAATGTCTGACATTTTTACAAGGTCCATGCCACCCTTCCTGTTGGTTTAGCAGTAGCAGACTGCCTAGTTTGTTTTATAAAGCACTTCTCCCTGCCAGGCCACTTAAAGAAGCTCTGGCTAATAGGTTGGCAATAGAAACGGCTGCTTAGACGTTCCTACAAGCCAGGGCTGCTTTCCGTCCTCTGAGGATAAGTGCTGTGTCAAGACCCTGCTCAGCCAACACAGTTGCTCTCGGTCTTCAGGAACTTAGTCACTCTGTGCACACTGCCACCATTTGTCCACTAACAAAACAGTCGTTTCACCCTCTCGCTAGACCGCCTGGAGCCTTTACAGGAGTTAGTTTTTGAGCCATTTTCCCTCTGTACAGTCAGAGCCATGTGGACATGGGGCTTGTGAACAGAGAAAGAACTTGTACATCTAGCAGAAAGAGGGGCAAAGAAAATGAACTACACTAATCCAGAGTTCTCAGATGTGTGAATCAGGTCTCAAAGTTCATGTGTATGACTTATATAAACACGATTTTTTAAAAAATACAACTCTTAGTTTGTCTTACTCACAAGAGCCTCTTTCTCTATTTCGGCTCTTGCGCTGTATAACAACATCTCTAACCGAGTTCCTGTGGCCAGGCTGGCTTCTTCTACCACAAGTTTCACCTCTCATTATCCCTGACACATTCATTACTGACACATTCACTAAACAGTGCTTAAAATTAACTGGTTCCCGTGCCCAGACCTGCCTCTTCTTCAAATTTGATTCTCCCTACAAACCCTTTGTTCTCCTTATGCCTTGCCCGCACTTCTTTGGATAGGAGTTCACCAATTTCTTCTGAGAAAGTACAGATCGAATTCAAACTAATTTAGTTTCTACTTAATCTCTTTTCACAGTGATCTTCAAAGCCTTTCTTGATGCCTTTCCCAGCTTGAATTTTCCTTTCTCCTCCTGCTTCCCTTTACTTTTCCCTCCCTTCCTGCCTGCCGCTTTCTCCTCTCCACCTCCCTCCTCACACAACAGGCGTAGAAATTCCTCATCTACTGTCTTCCCCTCACCCGTGTAATCCCATCTCTCGGTCTCCTTTGTAACTAAGGTTACTCCATCCTTTACTCTCTCCAGCCTCCTATACTTTTCATGATATCAATAAATGTTCTAACAACTCCCTCGATCTTAAAGCACGTGACTCCCCAGACACCAGAATTAAGAAAGCCTGGTTCCCCTCATGTTTGTGCCTCATGGTTTGTTAACTTTAGGGTCTAAGGTGCAAGCTTTAACTTTTCAGCTGGGGGGTACGTAAGGTCTCTCTTTAGCCACTGGATGCTATTGCCCAGAAGCTCCCACTGCAGACTTTCCATCATTTAGGGAGTACATGAAACATCTTCCCTGCTCCACGACTTATTTTCATGAAAGTTACAGGAACTAAATTATTCTGACAGCTTCAGTCCTATCTGGAGCAAGTCGCTAGGTTCAAGTGTCATTAAATGACATGGATACGCCCCCAAATATACCTGTACCTACATGTCATGACCATATAAATCTCATTCCCATAAAAAAGTAACCTAAAAATCACATTTGATCTAACTTGTGCCTTCCAGCTGCCCATCTCTAAACTCACTGAATGCACTCTTCCCAACCACTGTCAAGAGGCCCCTGTTTTTCATTTTCTCTTCAGTTTTCTCTGATACAGTTGTCTCTGCAGGCTCGAAAGCTAAGCTTAGTTTTTAAAATATCACAGCTGAAATGACTCCAGGAGATGAAGATTTAAGGAAAGCACTAAAAATTTCAAGGCTTTTGAGAGAAGCCTGCAACATTTGGAAAATAGAAGGAACTGGGAGGAGAGGAGCAGCAGGGGGAAAGAATGAAGAAGTAACTGAGACAAGTGATTCAAAGGCAAGCAAACAAAAAAAAAAGGAAACAAAAAGGGAAAGGATAGGTATCCTTTTCCTTCTTTGTTTCTAATTGTCCAAACAAACTGTGTTGCCTCTTATCAGTTCTGCAAAAGGACAAGAGTCCAATACATAGGACGGAAGACAGCAATCATTTGAAAATTCTCCATACTGCTTATATATTTTATAAGGATTATTACACAACTAACGTAGTTTTATGCTGTGAACTTCCATTGGTATAGGTGTACTTAAATGCAATGGTGAGAGAGCTGCTTTTTTTTCTAAAGCAAAAGCTACATGTCAGGGTGAATGACATGCCATTTTAATATTTTGTAATTGCAAACTACAAGTACATAAAAATGAGGTTCTGTAATACTTAGGCTTGTAACTGCAAATAACAGAATATTCAGATTCTCAAACTTCTGTTACTTTCTTCCCATCGTACATATTAAATACGCTTATTAAGCATATTTAATCATTACTTAAAGCATGCAGAGATATGTTTCTAGGGTCAGAACCTTACTTGGTTACTGAGAACAGTCCTGGATATATAAGGGCATTCCTCACAGTTGGACCAAATATTTGCAAATGCTAAGCTATGAAGGTCCCGTCTCACCAAATGAGAAAAGTGCTCTCCCACATCTAATCTCTGAAATGTGCTTTCAGTTGCAATTTAGTGATAGTAGGATTGTGTAAATGTATTGGAGGGCAAAACTGTATCCTACGTATAGTTGCTAGTCAAGTTAGGCTTACTCTGACATCCTCTAGTAATTTCCAAGTTCTAAATATTACAACTGTATGCATAATATAACATTCATATTCATTTAACCTATTCAGAAAAAGGAGACTTCTCATGGCTCTTGATTGTGTATTTTACAAATTCTTTCTTAATTAAGGTTTCAAAGGAAACATTTACATAGAGGTGAAGGGATGGGCTTTCATGCAGGTGGCAGTAATCTGTACTCACAACTTATTGAATAAAGACTGTAATTGCAGCGATAGGATGGGAATAATCTAAACATAGCAGAGTTTTCCCCAGATTCCCGTAAAAATCAGGTGAGTTTTTAAGTGCTGATCTCTAAACAATGGGAGGCCTCTGCAGCAAACCAG